TTCTTACTGCTGCTGATGCTGACTTTCCCCGCCCCTTGGCTCGCATTCCCTTGTTTCTAGCCTTCTAGCCATCTCTCTCATCGGCGTTTAGCCGCCGCGTCTAGCAGCGCATCTACTTTGAATGAAGTTGCCGCCGAAGCGCCCGAGCCAGACGTCAGCGTACAGCGACATTTGACGTCGTTTATCTCTCGTGTGTTGCACTCTCCATGTCTGAATGAGGTGCTTGCCTTTCGGTTGGCCCAGTGGATGCCCGTCTCACTTCCCGAGGCCCGTGGTCTTCCGTGGAAGTAAGTCATCGTTGGGCTTTGTTGGTTTCCGTTTTCGTTTGCCATGCTTATCCTCAAAGTGTTGATGAGTGGATGGGCCTTTGACAGGATGTTTCAAGAACATGCACCGTGCATGCTCGGATGCCAGAGTGAGCGTGATGATGGTGCCCATTACTGGGGTTGTCAGCATATCTCGAGGCATCTCGCTACCGTGCTTTATCTTGACTCCCCCACTTTTCGTCCCACCTCTCCTCTTGGTCGCCTTGGTATTGCTCTCCCCTCTCTGGTCCTCGCGTCGTGTTCTCGGAGCTGCTACAGACACATGCATGCTGTCACTGAGCGCCCACTTCCCGACGACAGAGTCGGCATCGTACTTTCCACTGCGCGGTGGGCGCTCGATCGGACGTGATGGACATGATGCGCCAGGCCCGAAGAGGAGGAGGAAAAGGAGGAGGAGGAGGAGGGAAGGAAGAAAGGAAGGAAGGAGGGAAGGGAGGGAGGGAGGGAGGGAGGGAGGAGGAGGAGGAGGAGGAGGAGGAGAAGGAGGAGGAGGACGAGGAGGAGGAGGAGGAGGAGGGAGGAAGAGGAGGAGGAGGGAGGAGGAGGAGGAGGAGGAGGAGGAGGAGGAGGAGGAGGAGGAGGTGGGTTGGGAAATTCTTGGGGCCTCTTGGGTGATCAAGGCGACGCGAGAGGAAGTGTAGGGGAGTGGGTGATTGTGGGAGGAGGAAGGGGGGAACCGAGAGCAGCAGTAGGACGAGAGGAAGGAGTGCACGGGGATCCTCGGGGGGTTCGGGGGACGCAGGGCACTATAAGGGTGTGGGGGGGGGAGGGGGAAGGGGGGAGAGGTGCAGGAGGGAAGAGGAGGGAGGAGGAGGCAAACCGACGATGAAGAAGAGGACGATGCCGAGGACGAGGACGAGGACGAGGACGCGGAGGAGGAGGAGGAGGAGGAGGAGGAGGAGGAGGGGGAGGAGGAGGAGGAGGATACTGAAAAGGAGGCGGATGGGTAGGAGGAGGAAGCGGAGGAGGAGGAGGAGGAACAGGCGGAGGAGAAGGTGGAGGAGGAGGGGGAGGAAGAAGGGGCCCCGCATTACACGGAGGCAGAAAGTGATGATGGGTTTCTGCACGTGTTTGGGGGATTCCTTGAGATTTGGCCCCGCAGGGTGTTTCCCATCAGCTGCGCCTCGTCGAACAGTGCCCGGGAACCTGGAACCCTCCCGAACAGCCGCCTGGGGCCCGAGGCATGGGCCAAGTGTACCCGAGACGGGCAAGGGGGAGGAGGTGTAGGAGAGCGGGCTATGTTTTTGTGGTCTAGGGACCACTTCTGGAGGGTCCTCGATGTCACGGATGGATATGGCTCTAGTTTCTTGTCAGAACGAGGTCCACGACAGATCTGGAGATGATTTTTGTCATTGAGGAGAACACGTGCGACAACGAGCATGAGAACATGTAGGACGAGAAGGATAAAGAAATGAGAAGTGTGAGGGATGACGAGAAAGAAGGATGATACGGACGATGATGAGGATCTTGAAGGGAGCAACATACGTAGAATTACGAATCTGATGACTACTCGGGAAGCGGGAATGACGATGACCACGAGGAGGAGCTGGAAGAGGAGCATGGGGAGGAGAATGAGGCGAACGAGGCGTAGCGGAAGATGAAGAATATTATATAATTTCAGGAGGACACAAAACGAAGCGACGGAGGATGATGAGGAGGAGGAGGAGGATGGCGTTGCGTGAGGCGGACAAGGACGGGGGGGGGCAAGACTAGGTTCCACCAATCCCCGCGAGCTCTGCCGCTAGCCCGTGTGCGCTTCTCATGTCTGCGAGGAGAAGGAGCAGGAACAGGACGAGGTGGAGGAGTGAGGACAGAATTTGGAGGAGAAAAAGGAGGAAGAGGTGGAGGAGGAGGTGGAGAAGCAGGAGCAGGAGCAGGACGAATAATAAGTACTTTCGGGTTGTAATTGTTATTCCCTCCTCTCCTTCCCTTTTGGGTTTTCCCATTGTTGTGCTCTTCAGCTCGCGCCTTGGACTCGCGCCGGCAGTTTCCCCTCGCTGTATCGTCTCACTCCTCCGCCTCCGCCCGCCAGTGCTTACGTCGCGCCAGCGCCAGGGTCAGACTGGCAGCGCGCGGGTCCACCAAAAAGACGGCGGGTCCTTCTTGCAGTTGGTACCGATGTTCAGCCCTGGCGTCGCCCAGACGGTACTTGTCGTCTTCGTCCTCCCCCATGAAAGCAGCGGAAAGATCAGGAGTCGCAGATTCCGACGCTGATGGCCCAGCAGGTCGAATGGTTTGTTCGGGGATGGCGCTCGAAGGCGAGGTGCCCATGCGTTCTGAGGTAATTGCCCGCGCGCTTTCTTCTTGCTCACCTTACGATACACTCCCTCGCATCCCCAAAGCACCCTTCCTCATGCCACCCTTTTCTCCCTCCCCATCCCCTCTCCTGGGGCAGAGGAGCCAGCGGAAGAGGCGGAACGATGAGGCGGATGAAGTGGAGGAGCAACAGGAGGAGCAGAAGGATTAGGATGGGGATGTGGAGAGACAGGGGGTATGATGATGATGATGCTGCTGCTGATGATGATGATGCTGCTGATGATGATAATGATGATTTTGTTGGTAGGAGGCTCGGGTTTCAGAGACCATTGGAGACCAGGTCAAGCCTGGGCACGGAGATGACACATCACATCTGGGGGAAACTGCCTCTGTTTTTTGGGGGGAGGGAGGCCCCTGGACAAACGGTACAGCACTTCCTCCTAGCTTTGGTGGCAGGCCGATGAATGGCCTCACAGGAATGAGACAGACTCTGTGCATTCACTGCGGCGTGATTGCCACGCGTGCCACAATGCATCACCACTCGAAGCACCTGAAGTCTGTGAGTGGCAAGACACTTGGGGCACAGAGGGCGCTTGGGGAGGTCAAAAGCATGGTGTCCAACACCGAGACGGGGCCCTGGGGGAGTCCAGGGCACTGAGGACGCACCTGGCCACGCTGAGAACATCTGCGACCACACACCCGACTCTCGAGAGCGCCGCCTGGCCTGACGGGCTCGTGGCCCGCCCTCCGCGACCGGCCACGTCTCGCGCAGGAGAGCGACGAGGAGTGGGTTCGGGGAGGCGGGCGGCCGAGCCTGCCGGAAGCACGACGAGGGCTCGCTTGGACCTTGGCATCGCTCGGACGTGTGCATGTCTCAATCGTCGACGACCATCGAGGAGCATCCTCGATCACTTGGCGAAAAAACCACGCGCGAAACCGAAAGAAAGCGCGGGGAATGGACCTCCGAGCGATGGCAGGCGGATGACCTGCGTGTGCACAGCGGGCAGCCCATCCGAGGTCGCAGAGGGCAGAGGTGAGGCGGCCCGTCCACTCCGTCAACTCCGCCTGCTCGAGAGTAGGACTGCAGTACTCGGCTGCCTAGCTGTGCTTTCAGGAGGGAAAAGACACACAGACACCATCAACCGTCGATTCCCAGGAAAACATGCGAAAATATGGGAAGCGGGGGGGAAGACGAAACTCCCCAAAATACTGGAAAGTATGGTGAATCCTGCTATTTGTGTGTATTTATGTGTGTGCTCCAGGGCCCCCTTCTATAGCTTGCAAACTAGTCAGCACGCCAGTTCAAAGGACGTTCGTCCTCAGCTTTGGCGAGCTGGGCCCGGTGCCGGGCCGCCGAGTGGCTTTCGGTCCACGGGACCTCTAACCGACCGGAGCGACGATCGAAGGCCGGCTAAGTCCGAGATCCGAGACCAGAGGCCCAACATCGACCCGTAGGCAAGTGTCTGAGGTCTTGCTTGCCTCAAGAGCACGAACCAACGGCAAGCTGCAATGATAGCAGACTGGATCAACGGTATGCGAGATCACCACGGAGAGAACACACATCATTCGGCTCGGGCCTGACCGCTCAACCGTTGGAAGGCGTCCGCACATCGCGCAGCCCAACATACAATCCAGATCACCAGGCAATCAACCCAAGACGAACCATCTGCCACTGGCATCTTGTCGGTCGCACACTTGCCCGCAGAGCCGTTCGGTCCCCAGACACCCCTCCCCCTGTCGGTCGGCGAGCGCGGGCGGCCTCCCCGGGCCCAGGCGAGGCCTCGAGGAGGAGGGAGGTGCCCGCAGCTGGCCAAGCAGTGGCGAAGCGTCTGGCTCGCCTATAGCCCAACCAAGCAATGTCCTAAGAACCCTCTGGTGGTTTCCACGAGATGTTCTCAGAACATTCCTGGCGGAGTCTGTCCTGTTTTGTCGCATCGGGCTCATGTTCTAAGAACACTGCTCTTGTTCTGAGAACGCTTTTGGGTTCTAAGAACATTCCGTGGTAGGACTAGAGAAATGCCAGGACGGTCGGTCCCTGCTCAAGAGACGGAGGCTCACGAGGGAGAACGGCCCTCTCGGGGTCGGCGGCAGGAGCTTCTGCAGGCAACGACCTGCTGCTCGCAACGGCAGGGCCGGGCAGCAAAGAGCTCGTTGGACATGTCCAGCATCGATGCGCAGGGGGTCCTCTGGCGTCGCCACAACGAGAGCATCTGCCGTCCGCGGGGTGTCATGTGTGTCCTGCAAGCGGTGTTCTGGCCGGCAGTCTCCAGCAGCAGTAGTGCGCGCCAGCGCTGCTCCTTGGACATCGCTCCCTCGAGCCACTTCGCGCGGTTGGCCCTGAAAGCGGCGGACTTGGCACTGCTTTGGCCGCAGTCGTGTGGCCCAGCGGCAGCCCATACAGAAGCACAGAGCCGCGCGCGCGCGCAAGAGGTAAGACGGCACCGAACATCAGCGGCCGAGAGGTAGAGAGGATCACGCCCAGGGACACGCCATTTCGTTCACCCTGCGAGCTCCCAACCTGAGTCCAGGACGGTGGTGAACAAGGCGACGGGCGGGCCCCGCGCCCTGCCCCATCGATGCTGAGGGGGATCTGCAGGACGAGGAGGAGGACGGAGAGGGGGAGGAGGAAGAGGAGGAGGAGGAGGAGGAGGAGGAGGAGGAGGAGGAGGAGGATGAGGAGGAGGACGAAGAGGGGGAGGAGGAAGAGGAGGAGCGATAGGTGGAGGAGGTGGAGGAGGTGGAGGAGGTGGAGGAGGGGGAAGGCGGTCCTGCAAGCCCGTCCGAGCTTTTCTCGCGCCTCCCCGAAGGCCCGCAGACAGGCCGGCACAGACTTCAGAAATCACAACCAGTTGCTCATCGCTCAACCGGAAGATGGGGCCATCCTTCGTTCCGCGCAGGAGTCTGAGGATCGACGTCGCGCGAGCTCCCGCGGGCTAGAATCCCGAACGCGCCGCCGCATGCGAACGAATTTTCCGAGTTCCCCAGGAGGAAACCCGAGAACGTGGCGTCCCGGGGGGCTGCAGCCACGGCGCCCGTATGAACATGTTCCGAGCAGCGCCGCAAGAAGTGGCCAGGTAAGAAAGCCAGGACGAACCCCAAAAATATAGCGACCTGGGTTTACAATGTTCCGGGATTATTGACCCGGGTTCATAACGTCCCCCTGGAAAATTACGGACAAATTAACTGGGGTCATCATGTTCCCCCCGGAACATTATAACCTTGGTTTATAATGTTCCGGGCTTATCGACACCAAAAATATATAAATTTGGCTTCATAACGTTCTGGGAATATTGACAGGGGTTCATAATGTCTCGGGAATGATGACCCCCAGTTGATTATTCTGGAATGATCATAGTGGAGGCTGAGGGGCGTCGTCTGCGCCAAAGGCGGATATTCTGAATCAGGAGTCATGATTCCGGATTAATTCTCATTTTAATTTGCCCCCAACCTCGCGCTTCCAAGCTGGGATTCACTATGTTAGAATATTGACTTTAGTCCGACATCATAAATTGGGGTTCATCATGTTCTGGAAATGGAATGATAATAATCCGGCGGATGGGGGGGCGCCTAAGAAGGAGATTGGATTGGGATCAGCCCCTGGTTCATTATGTCGGAATATCGGCCCCAGATGCGTTATTCCGGAATGAAAATGATCCGGCGAGGGGGGGGACATCGATCCATCTACAGGCCAGTGATCCAATGGGGTACCATCTTAACATAATGAACCTGGGTATCATTCTTAGATAATAAACCAAGGTCGCCGAGGATTTCGGGGCCACCCTCAAGAAAGCTGACGAGAGCAACGAAACGCAATTGCACGACGCTGCTGAATTTTCCAGGTCGGATCTGCTTATGCAGAGTCGCAGTAGCGTCGAGATCCTTCACCCGCGGCGCAAAGGTGGACGCGCCGAACTGCGAAACTCATCCTGCAGCAGTCGCATCAACTCCAGGGGGGGGGGGGTCGCCAGTGGGGGTCTTGGCTGACCGCGCAGCCCACAGCAGAAATAGCGGATTGAAACTCACGAGCGGCAGGAGGAGGGAAGCGACGCATTAGCGCAGGCGTGCCGTGCAGGCACCGGGTGGTGTCATCAGCGTATGACTTGACAGGTACATGCCCAGAGCCTCTAGGGATCCCCTTTGTGAGCCTTCTCCAAGACGGCGTGGAGATAGCATTAAACCCAAGGCGCGCTTTGATTGCGCTCCGCCGAGATGGATGTCCCCGCCTTCGCCATCTTCGACAGGGGCCCAGAGACCCCCCCGAGCCTCGGAGAGATGTGAACGAGGAGTCCCAGATGCAGCAGGTGCCCAGATCAATCTCCCAGGGCTGACCAGATTGACCGAAGAACTTCTCGAGATGCCAATGCAAGGACGCAGCCGAGAAGCCAGTGGCATGAGCAATCTTGTGAGACAGTTTACGGCCAAGAGTAGCTTTCTGCGCAGATGGAACTTGCGCCGCAGAAGCCGGAAAAAAGCGTTTTGCTCTCTGCTCCGATCATCAATGTCAAATCTTGCAACAGGTTCGGTAGATGCTGGAACAATTGGCCACTACACTCCAATCAAAAGCCGACCTGGGAAGCATAGCCATGATGCAAGGATTAAATTGCGGCGAGACGCTTCGGGCATCTGCTATCATCCCGGTCAACCCAGTAAGGACTTCCAGAGAGTCATCCGGCACAGAAAGCAGCGGCCGCACATCCGGTCCTGCAGATGTGGAGGCCGAGAAGCAAGAGCAGGTACACGAGAAACGCCTTTGACCTTCAAGGGCGGGCGCTCCAAAAGGGCAACGGCCGCCTGCGAACGCATTTCGTTCAGGCCTTGTGGAGGGCGCGGCTCTGCTGAGGGCTGGGGGTCCACCGCGACTTCGAGCTACTCTCGCGAGCGGACGTCATATCTTTGGAAGCGCGCGCGATGGCGCCCT